CAATAACCTTTGAGGCAACCAGACAATGCCGTTCTCGCTGCTGCCTGCTGCTAAAAACCGCACTTGGATAGCAGCTAGCGCTCCTACTGGTCGTGAGCTATCCCAAGTCAATCTACTCTCATCTACTCTCCTTTCCATTGTGTACACAATACGTTCTTCCTCCTACTCTGGCCTTTGACGTCTTCTCTTCTGCACTAAGTAACCATGGTCTGAAGATCGCAGTTACTGGGTTTAACTCGCTTAACCCCCTGCGATAGTTCCGCATATAAATTCAAGGTGTCTGTGGCGCTTCGCGCTGCGGACTTTACTAATATAACTCCAGAACAGTAAGTTGGACCTCGGGTAAGTTAAGGTAGACGACCTCGTTACCACCATTTCTCTTTTTCAGGAATTTCAGGAAACCCGCATATTGACAATCGGGTTTTTTCCGTAATACGTTTACCGATAATACAGATTAGGACTTTGCCTTAGGGCTACTGGGGCTTTAAAGGGGAACCAATTAAGCCAAGCCACGCAGTATCCATATGAGCACATTTCTGGATGTAATGATTACTCGCCCCACACCTTGCGGCCTTGAGGATTACCAGCAGAAGTAAAGAGGGTCGGAGTGGCTAGTAGGGTCGACGCAATATAATATACGCATGCTTGCGTCTACTCAGTAACCCGGATTAAACCTTCGTTCAGTTAACCTGTTACGCCTTTTTAGGCTGTCAGTACGAGCAAACATGTTGGTCCCAGGAAGTGAGTGAGAAGAAGATAACTCGATCGCTGGGGACAACACTTTTATTCGCCTGACGTTTCAAGATCCGTCGCGGATTCATCATCAGAGACGCAGAGCAGCAGCAGCAGCAGATACGCGTAGCATTTCCACAGAAATTTGCAGTATTAATAGGATACAGTCATAACTCCAATCGTAAATCGGCATTTAAAGGTAATTACCTTCTTGCGAGTTGCGACTTGGTTTGCCCAAATTTAGTCTAAACACCGAATATGGATTGGGCAAATCGTTGCACTTGTTTATGCATTGGGGGTCCGTCAACCATGACTCAAGCAATTCTCGGCTTACCCGATTACCATATCTTGCGATTTTAATGTGTGGCCGGACCTCGTCGAATGAGTCGCAACTTGAGAATTGGCATAATTTCACCGCAATGCTGCCGCGTGTTCGGCAATTCGCGTGTTGGCAAGTCTGCCAGTTTCTCCGAAATAGTTGCTTTGTTTGCAACGGCACCAGATCCTTTAGGCGACTCCTGATGTATCGTACCGGGGCAATGAGCCTTTCGGTTTCATTACCTGACGCCTTATGGTTGCCTCCGGCCTGGGTGCGACTTTAACTCAAAGTGGTGCGAGAAGGCGGCCGACAGCCTCCGAAACGTTTTTGACGTATGGGATCGCTCGCTAAATGTTGGGGTCGGTGCGCATTTGTTGGCCATCTCGTTTGCGCAAGTTGCTGCAGTAAGCCAATGTCCCTTAACACCCGTCAAAGGTATTGTACCTCAGCAACTAGTTCCTTTGGATCGCTGCATTGTGTCTCAACACGCCACTAGGGTGTCCTTACGTAACTGCGTTTTTGGCTGATTGGGTGCTTACTGTTATAATTCAGTACTTACATCGTGTTTGGCCCTTTCTTAAATACTTTGGTCTCTAGGCCAACATAATCTTCGCGACAGACGAAGACATCGACAAAGGTCAGCTGGTTGTTCTCTTTCTCCTTCATCGTAACTTGTATGTCCGGGAAGAAGCTGTTGAGACGTTCCTTTAACGTGAGCACTTGATCTCTTTTAGATGATGATGAAGATGTCATTCATATACCACGTCTATGGTGTTGGAAGAACAGCGACTCCAACCGTTGTAGGGCCGCCTCGGCTATGAGTCCTGAAATCGGTGAGCCCATTTGTGTCCACTTCACTTGCTCGTAGATTGTCTCGTCAAACGTGAAGTACGTCCTGAGACAGAACTTCAGGAGCTGTAGGATTTCCGCGTGTCCCAGGCGATTCTCCGTCTCATCCTTATTGCTCCTTAGGAGTAGTTCGACGGTCTCGACTACCGAATCTTGAGGGATGGAGGTAAAAAGGGACGTGAGCGGAGATGAGCGGACCATGGTCTCCGAATCAGCGGTCAGAGCTTTGAGACGCCGAAACAGCCACTTTGCCAATTCGTACGTTGGAGTGCCTTTCAATGGTACGATGGATCGGAGAGGAGCACCCTCCTTGTGCACTTTAGGGAGACCATAGAAGCGGGCCAAGGCCGTTTCTTGTGCGATCGTCATGCGTCGGTCAGACGGCGTTATTGCAGCCAAGGCCCATAGTGCCAACAGGATCGAATTAATTTCTCGTCTCAGCCTTTTGATGCGGTTGGTTTCACAGGCAACATAAAACTGACGACTCTCCAGTAAGTTTTTCGCCTACTGAAGGTAGTCGGTTCTGTCCATTATGACCGTAGACAGTCCCTTGTCGGCTGGTACGATTTCGATGTCCCGATCGACGCGTTCGACCTTGGGGAACACTTCCCGCGGTTGACGAGCCATCAGGAAGGAGGATACATGAGGTCGGATAAGGTTCTTGGTCCCCTCCTGGAACTCGCGTGTTCGCTTGTATCGGTGGAACATTACGCACAACTGTTTACAGCAAGGAAACTTATGCCGAAGTCATCATAAACTATGAGAGCAACCATCCTATGTCTCATAAAAGGAGCACTGCCAACAGTCTGTTAAATCGAGCCAAAACGCATTGCTCGGACAAACAAGGCTACCAGGACGAACTGAATTACCTATTTAAAATTATTCTCCCAAAACGGTTATCGACGAAAATTTATACGTCACTGTGTGAGACAACAATCGTCAAAGAAAAAAATATTCAGGCAATATCAGTCAGGCGTCATATACTTTGCGTAGCCTTCTTTACATCAAAATGTCTCTGAACTGGTTGCCAGACATTTGAGGAAACATCACATCCGGGTGGCCCACAAACCAACAGCGACATAACGCACCCAATTGGTACATCCTAAGGATAGAGTGAACTATTTAGACAGGAAAGGAGTTGTCTATAAAATCCCATGTGGATCATGTGATGCCGTTTATTGTGGCCAGACCGGAGGACCCGCCTCTGTACGCATTCATGAGCATCAATTAGCGGGAA